CTCTTCTTTGTAGCAGCCCCTGAGATATTGGAAGACTGCTAGCATGTCTCCCCTGGTCCTTCTTTTCATTCAACTAGGCATCCCCAGTTCCTGGTTCTTCCCATGTTTACATATGAAACAGTTGCCAAGCATCTGAATTTGATCACATGACTAAGGGTGCTGCAACGATCATGTGAAAAACAGTCGTAAGTCACTTTTATGGTGCCATTGCAACTTTGAATGGTCACTAAACAAGTGATTTGATTTGATTTGATTTATTGGATTTCTATGCCACCCTATTCCCAGAGGGACTCAGGGCGGCTCACAAACCAAAAAAAGGGGGGGGGGAATACAAACAGGAGGAAAACAACGGACAAACAACTACAGACAATTTAAAAACACTCAACAACCACACAATTTGAGCGGGGGCGGGGGATCCATCAGCCCCAGGCCTGTCGGAAAAACCAGGTTTTAAGGGCTTTGCGGAAAGCCTGAAGGGTGGTGAGGGTCCGAATCTCCACGGGGAGCTCGTTCCAGAGTGGTTGTAAGTTGAGGACAACCTGAATGGCAAATACAGGTTTCTCCCTTTCATTGTTTGCCCCTTGTGCCAGCCCCATTCTGCAGTCCCTGTAACCGTACAGTCCCCAAGTTGTGTGTTTTAAGGACGATATTCACTCCAAGGTCAAAAGACTTTTTAATCTGCATTAATCCAGCTCTAAACTCCTGTATTAATATTTATTGGAGACAAGGTCTCTCCGTTGTCCCCCTTATTCTCAGTAACAAAACAAAACAAAATTGAGAATATTGAGAGATAACCTGTGGGGTGTTATAATCTTAGCTGGGCCAAAGTGACAGCATGTTTTGATCCTCTCTTTTTGCTTCTAAACATGAGGAATGAAATGTCTAAGGAACGCACAAAAAATGGAGGAGGTTGGAGATCAGGATTCTGCCCTCCGCATTGTGGATGACAATTTAAGCCTGCTTCTAGAATTCTCTCTTTGTGTCACTTTGTGCCTGCCTAGCTAGCAGAATCACGCTGCCAGTTGATGGGAATCCCATGTTTCTGTGCCCGCTTTCTCACAGTGCCTTTTTCCTGCTGAATTTGCCCTTCTATTTCTTCCAGGCCCAGCCAGGACCCTCAAAGCCACCAACTGATCCCCCCACAGCCCAGGTAATGCCCCAAAACCAAAGGGTAGGAAATAGGGAGGGAGCTGGAGGAATACAGTCTTAACTTCCTCTCCCCCTTTCTTTTTTTATTAAAGTTTTTTATTTATTTTAGTTACATTAAAAAAAAAGGTGTACAGAGTGTTGTCCAAATTCCCCCTTTAACATTCCCACCGAAAGACATAATTCACTTTGCATTTTATTTCCAATTTTAGCCGTATTACTTTTCTTCTCCTTTTTTCCAATTTCTAGTTTTTTAACATGTACAAACAATATAATTCTTCTTTCTCTTTAAAAACAAACAATTTATCATTTCTTTTCCATCTATTTCCCATTAACAATATGAACCTTCAAGTTTCAAATTTCAACTTTTGTATAATCAGCATGACATAATTATTTAACAGCTTTAAGGTTCTTAACAGAATTGCTGCACGTTCTAATTAAAACATATTGTTAACCTTGTTAACAATATTTCTACTGGATAATATCATTCTACTATTCTTCTATTTTTAAATTTTCTTTTTCTTCTTTTTATGTGTCTTATATCTTTTCTTCGGTATTTTCCTCTCACTTGTCAATAGATTTTTTGAGTATCTCTCCCCCGCCCCCCCAGTTTCTCTTTCCCATCTCCATTTATTTCTCTCTTTATTTTTGGCTAATTTCTTTTTCGGATGTCGTTTCCCTTTTTTTCCTCTCTGCTCTCTTTGTGCTTTTACCCCATTGTGTTTTATTTTCCATTTCTACCTTGTTAATTCCTTGTTCATTTACATTGCTTGTCTCTCCCCCTCCTGCCTCCACTTTCAACAATTTTTCTGGTTCCTTTTCTACCTTCTTTGTCACCTTTTAATGTTGCTCGTGCACTTTTTAACATTTCCAACAACTCCTCTAACATCCCACCCTCCATGATCAAATTTAATACATTTTTAATATTTTAATACTTTACCACAATTTCCTCTCCCCCTTTCTTGTTAGCCGTCGCCGGAGGAACAAGGAAAAGAAGCAAAGAAGGACAGCGCCCCCAGCAGCAGCAATGGGGAAAGCAGCAGGTGAGCCACCAGGGCTGTGTGGTTTATCCCCCCACACCCCCTTCATTTCTCCCCCACCCTCCATCAACATGGCTCTCATTTCTGGCTTGCTTCCTCCCTCAAAGCAAAAAGAAGAGGAGTCGTAGCAGGAGCCGTGACCACAGACACAGGTAGGGATAGCCCTGAAGAGAGCACAGAAGAAGTGGGCAGGCCCTGGCTGGGGCTGGCATAGAAACAGAGGAAGGAAGCTAACACAGGACCTAGCTTGTGACAGTCTGCAGGAGAGTGGATGGGAGGGGGGAAAGCGAAAGTAACATCTGTATCTCCCTGAGAAGCTGCCTCAAGATCATTCGGCTGGGAGACAAAGGCAGCTACATACCAGCCTAACCTTGAACTGACTTTTCTGAAAACATATCCCTTGAATCTGATTGGTCATGGGAAGGGGGTCAGCGATGGGAGGCAGTTTGTTGTTGCTCATAGGGGTCAAAATTAGGAGTGTCGATCCTAGGTAGAGGCAGATATTTCTTTCTCCGGGCACAATGAGAATATATCGGCTGAACAAAACTCTGCATTGGCGACCAGGAACGGCATCCGGCCATTAAACGCTCTGCTAGCTCCATTCAGTTGCCCAGACTCCATCCCGTAAGGGATTATGGGGTCATTAAACGATGATGATGATGTAACTCAGACAGACCTGTTGGTTTTATCCGAAATTCCGTTTTCAGAGGTGCCGGAAGCTTCTCCCAATTCAAAAGATTTACTTTGGCAAACGCCAGAATTGTCCTCGGACAAGGTTGGACTGTTGATGAGATGGAAAGAATGCTGCTGTTTCTATAGGCTGTACAGGTAGTCCTTGACTTATAAGCAACCCCTCCAAAAGGGGGACTTACAACTAGAATTAAAAGTTCTTGATGGACGGGAACAGGGGTGGGATTCAGCTGGTTTGGACAAGGCGAACCGGTAATTCCGATGATCAGCTGGGAGCGAACTGGTTCGCTCCGACGATTAGGCGGGCACGCCTGCCCACCCCTGCGCTTTACTTACCTATATACTCTCAGCTGATTCACGCGGCGGAGCGAATTGCTGTGTTACTCCCCAGAAGTAATTTGGAAGGTATGTTTTGTTAAAACTACGCACGGGCGCAAAGCTCTCACTGAACCAATTGTTAAACTGGCAGGATCCCACCACTGGACGGGGAACCTCTGCGGGCATGTGACTGAACTTGGGTTAACGTGGCCATGTCAGGGTTCCAAATAGCATCCAAAATTAAATCTGAGTCCAAGGCAAAGTATTGCTCAAAAGTTCCCATTTATTAAGAGAGCCATGTTGGCACATCTGGGAAAACCCAAATCTGAAAGCTTCCTGGTTGAAAGTACCCACAAGTCCAACACATGGTCCAATCTTCCACTGCCATGCTGGCAGTTCCACCCATTTAGTTCCAGTCGGGTGCAGAGACAAAGGATGACCTTGGCTTTCTAGAAAGAATTTTGTTTTGGCTACATAGCATCTAACTCAGTACAATCCCCCCTCCCATTTTCCCACAATAGAAAAGGCATAGTCGAATAATAGAAAGCGGCAGGCCAAAGATCCAAAAGGAATATGGCTGCAGGCCTAACAGGCCACATTTATTTGCTTTACAAGGTTTCCGGTTTGTAGTTTTGGGCTAGATGGAGACTTTGCTAAACAATTGCAGGAAATATACCAAAAACAACATTTCACCCGCCCCTGATGCAAAATCTGATAATGCTTATTCTTCCTAGCCGTAGCCGGGACCGAGACCGTCATCGTAGACGAAGCCGGAGCCGGGATCGCCGCAGCCGTCATCGGAGCAGAAGCCGCCATCGGAGCCGCAGTCGAGATCGTAATAGGCGAGCCAGCCGATCTCGGAGCCGAGAGCGCCGGCGGGAGGAAAGAGTCCGTTACCGCACCCCACCACCCCCAGGGTGAGCAGCCCAACAGCACGTGGGCCAGATCGTAGTATGGTCTTCCTTAGATTAGATGGAAACTAATCAGGGAGAGAAGCAATCTAGAACTAAGGAGAAATTTCCTGACAGCGAAAACAATCGCTGGAATAGCTTGCCTTCAAATATTGTGGGTGCTCCATTGTTGGAGTTTTCAAGAAGAGACTAGACAGCCATTTGTCCAGAATGGGATAGGGTCCCCAGTTTGAACTGAAGATTGGATTAGAACACAGGTGTCCAACTTAAGGCCTGCGGGCCGGATCCGTGCTTAAATCTGGCCCGCAGGGCCGCCCTGGGAACAGCAAAGGACTGACCCACGATGTCTCTGCCAGCAAAAATGGAGCTCTGGAGCGTTGCATGCACTCCTCCTCCCCCGAGCTCCGTTTTGCTGGCAGAGGACTAGCAAAACAAACGAAAAACAAAGGAAGAAATGTTTCCCCGTTTGCATTTGAGTATGCAAGAAGCTGCAGGAAAGGAGAAAGGGAAAGAGGGAAGACAAAGAAAAAGATGGGAAAAGAGCAAGGAAGGAAAAAGAAGGAAAGAGGGGAAGGAAGAAGAATGGAATGAAGAGGGAAGGAAAAAGAAAGGAGGATGGAAGGAGATGATAATGAGGGTGAGGAAGGGTCTGAGGGAAGTCCTGCCTTAGTACATGGCCACTACATGTGCCCCCGACACAAATGACATCAAGCTTGTCATGCCTACCCCCCCCCCCCCCAAGGTCAACCAACCCTGATGCAACCCTCAGTGAAATCGAGTTTAACACCCCTGGACTAGAAGATCTCTAAGGTGCTTTCAAAACTATTATTCTATATTCTACGAATGGCGATCTGAAACCCTAACCCAGGAAAGGCAATTGAAAGAGCCAAGGGCTCCTGGGAGTTTTCTCGTTCTGCAATTCCTGGCTTCCCAACTTGGAAAACATTTTTCAGTGTGAATGTGTGAAACCTCGTTCACTTAGGGAGTGTTTGCGGAAGCATCGAACGCTCAAGTTTCTTCTCGGATCCGTGCCGCTACAGGTGTAGTTGGGAAGTTTCCGAAAGGAAATGGTCAAAACCGATGTAGCTCGAGACAGAGTGGTGCGGTGGCCTGGAGGTGGAGCGCTCGCCTCACATTCAGGAGGCTGTGAGTTCGATCCTAGGTAGAGGCAGATATTCCTCTCTCTGGGCACACTGAGAATATGTCTCTTGATGAACAAAACTCCACATTGGCGGAAGAGAGCTGACGTCGTGACGGCACGACGTGCCATCTTGGTGTTCCGAGATCGCAGTCGATTTCCTGCCGTTGGACAGTCCATTTGGACCTAAACCGTCCCACAGAGACAGTGATTGAGAAGGGCACCTCTTGCTGATCTTAGGGACATCGCAAAGTCCCTGAAAGATCCAGGAATAGCCTTTTTTCCAGCGACAGAAATGCAGCTAATTAAGCTGCTGAAGTTGGGACAGCTCCGGAACGGGAAGAAAGCAGAAAGAGAAAGTTTGTCGAATTGGTGAGGAATTTTTATTATTAGAGGAAGAAACTACCCAAGAAAAAAAAATTAAGTTAAGATTGAAGACAAAAGACTGTAGGCGACGAGATTGATCTGCATTGAACTTAGTTAATGCAGTTATTATCCAGTTATCCAGTTTCTTTTTTTTTTTTTTCCCCCCCACGGAGGGAACTTTTGTAAGGGGTCCTTATTTTTTAAACTGAATGGATTAATTCTTTCTTCTTCTTTTGGTTCCACCACAAAACCGCGGAGGACAAAAGCGCGGTTGATGAAAGCGCGCATTTGACGTCATCACAGCGCGACAAAAACATCGCGCTGTGATCGAAAAATGTAAAAATAAAGCGAAAACCTTACCCTAACCCCCCTAAACCTAACCCTAAATCTAACCCTAAACCTAACCCTTAACCTAACG